CTGCAAATGTTTGGTTTTCACATGCTACAAAGAATTACAATTGCATTACAAAAGAAAACATTTTTACTCAAAGCTTCCATAGGTTATTCTTCCATGGATCGTACGTGTGCAAATATCTCTTGTCTAATTAACAGTCCTGAAATTACTTAATAGTGTCACTTAGAGGAGCGGGGACTTATAAGGGTTGAAGCTAAAAGGAAAGGCCATCCCTAAGGAAAAGTAAAAAAAAAAACTTACTGAATTCATTTATTGGCTTCTCTTAAAAAAACCCCCAACCTGATACTATAAAGAACTTACATGGTGATATATAAAACACAAAGCGGCGTACACACCTACCGTCCAAAACTTCAGAGACAACTTCATGTCCTTGAAATGCACAGTAGAAAACGTGTATCAAAAGAAAAAGAAGAAAATGAGTGAAAATCACCCAACCACTGAGTCTTCCGAGACTCAAGTACTTGGCATTTTCACCATCTTCTGGTGTGAAACAGAACGTGTGTTAAATATTAGAAAGCTAAGGGACAGTTTAACTACGACACACCAGCTAGCACTGGAAAACCACAAAAATATATTATTTGTCTATATTAAAGGCTTTCTACCAAATACTCTAAAACGCATCTTGGAGAAAAATATTCCTGCTCTTCGCCTCTCAGGAGTACCGTTTGGTGTTTATAAGGATGTGCATATATGACTCTGCATTTGCTGCTCATTAGATCGGAGAACGGCACGCTGTATTTTCCCCCGTTTATCGCTTTTATCAATCACCTCCCCGGCCAGGCGCTTCTTGCCCGGTGTGTTTCCCAATGGAGCTCTATCCCTTCCTCCGCTTTTGGAAAAGACCGCTGCCTCCTACGGCACACTCCAGGGTTTATTTCTGATTTCACGTCTCTTTAGTTTATATATAAACCTTCCACTTCTTGGCATCTTCCTTCTACCCTCTACTCTGTTGCTGTGGCCAAGGCAACTTGCAATTTTGGCTGCAGCTCTTTTAGCTAACTCCCTCAGAAAAGCCAACCTTCTGCTGGGCAAAAGTCCTCGTGTGCTCTTAAATTTCTTCTTTGCTGCATCCGCCCAGACAATAACCGTGTGTTATCCCTGCCTTGGTGCGCTCTGTATCGTTCTTAGAGGACCACGGCCTGATTTCTATTGCGGAGACCCTTCTTAGCCATTACTACTGCAGCACGCGCTTTCAGAGTTCTAACTTTGCAGAATTTATCAAATAAAAAAATACTCGTGACAGTTTTTCTCTCCTCCACCTCCCCCAAGGAAACACTTTATCTCTTTGCTCAGTTTCCACTGATTTATTGGGTTCTGTTCATTATGCGTTCTTAAGACTTGCAAACAGTTCCAGGCTGATTTCATTTGTACCTTTTATACTATTTTCGTGCGAGAACCGTCTCCTCTGCAACTTCTTATCCTGATTTTGTTTCCTTCTGCTGCTGCTTTTATCTCCCATTCTCATGCTCTCTGTCCTTGCATATTTAATCATTAACTACATATACACTGAAGTACTTTGGAATATGGTCTGTTAGAAACAGTTTACTCAAAATAAAAGGCTATTGCATTTTGCTTTAAGAGAACATATTCTGGATTTGTTTTAAAAAGAGAGCCCAACGTTTATCGCACCAGGAGGAGGAATATTTTTACTCTCTATTTTCTAACCTCTTGAACTGTAAATCACATTCCTAATTACATCAGGTACTCTGAATATCTGGCGGTACGAGAAGCACTTAACTGAAACAATTATGTTTGCTCTACAGTTTTAATTAAGCGACCCAGTCAGCCGAAAACCAATAGATCAGTTCCTGTTGCTTGCAATAGGTTTTCTGACTCACTGGCCATGAAAACAGTTAACTTTTACCAACCCGACACCGGCCGTCGAGTACGAAGGTAGTTTATTTTTTCCTGAGTCTTTCTTAACCCAGAACAGGTCTCATAAACCTCTGTAACCTTTTCAAAAGTACCTCAAAGTAGAAGGAGATACAGAGATTATTTCAACTGTGTTCCCATTGACATTACAAATTAAGACATATATCAAAAAATACCAGAACAGAAGGCGGCACATCGGTGTGTGGCAGTTCCTCCTAGAAGCCAAAAAGTGTGAAGATAGAGATATTATCACCACTTTCCGGCATTAATTCCTTCAAGCAGAAGGGAACGAGGAAACTTGAGATTTTTTTTTCTCTATTTAAGACAAAGCCCCTAAATATAGAGATTCTTGACCTTTGCACAATAGCGGAAAATGCAGCAAGTTCAATCACTCTTCATCAGGAGTGGTTTTTAATATTATTCTCCTAACCTCAAGTCTTTCATTAAGTTGATTCAGTGATTTGAGAAGTACGAAATCAAGGAAAAAATTGACATCCTAAAATTCCCCGATTTTTGATGTTAAAAGCTTATATTTCCACACAAAAAATTAAATAGCTGTAACATAAATCCTTCCACGGTAAGCAGCTGAGCACGCCAAAATAATTTCCTTCTTACCTCAGCCTTGCGAATACTCTCTCTGGCTTCATCTATTTTCTGCTCCAGTTCTGCTCGGGTTTGCTCAGACATCACCGGCCCGTGGCATTCTAGCTCTTCAAGTGTCTGTCAGAAATAAGAAAACGCACCACAGCTGTAGTAAATCCTAGCAAGCCATTTACATGATAAATATTTATAACAATTCAGGGAAATTATTGTTTGATTAGATGTTGAGTTGACCGACAATAGCCCATTCCAGGAAAACAGATGATGAACAAGGCAAGAGCACAGTACTTCACATGGAAATTTCACTTGGGGGAATGTTTCAACATCTTCATGGAAACACGATATTGTGGTATGAATCAACTCATTTATATGTTGATATTCACATATTTAAAATGGGTATATTACTCCATATGCATGTCGGGATGGAAGAGAGCATCTTAAACATGGAGACAGAAGTTGCTAATGCTACAGGAACGTTGTGTCCGGAGGAGAATTTGCTGAATCACAGAAACCACGTTGGAGTCCCACAGAATCCCAGATGGGTGGGGGTGGGAAGGGCCCTCTGGAGCTCCCCCAGTGCCCCCCCCTGCCAGAGCAGGGGCACCTCCAGCAGTGGCACAGGACGGCGTCCAGGCGGGTTTGGAATGGCTCCAGAGGGGGAGACTCCCCCACCTCTCTGGGCAGCCTGTGCCACTGCTCTGCCGCCCTCACAGCAGAGAAGGCCCTCCTCAGGTTCAGATGGAACTTCCTTTTTTGAAGTTCGTGCCCGTTCCCTCTTGTCCTGTCACTGGGCACCACTGGAAACAGACTGTTCCCATCCCCCGGCACCCTCCCTTGAAGGATTGATCAGCATTGATAAGATCCCCCCTCAGTCTTCTCTTCTCCAGACTGAACAGCCCCAAGTCCCTCAGCCTTTCCTCATATGAGAGATGTTCTAATCCCCTCATCATCTTCATAGCCCTTTGCTGGACCCTCTCCAGCAGATCCCTGTCTTTCTTGAACTGGGGAGCCCAGAACTGGATGCAGTACTCCAGATGTGGCCTCCCCAGGGCAGAGGAGAGGGGGAGGATGACCTCCCTTGACCTGCTGGCCACATTCCGCCTGTGTAGTTTGAGGAATGGCTCAGACCACAGTGGAACTAGACAGCAGGTTCCCCACTTCCTGGGCTGAAACTCATAGAATATTATACGATATTACAGATACTGTAGTACAGACACATCCTCTTTAAGAGAATTTAATGTAGTTTGTGCAAGTCAGGCGTGACCCGAGCATGTGAAACAGATGTTTTTAGGCAGAAGTTAGCACAAGAACTTAGCGTGGGTCCCAACACTGTCTCCAAACAAGGGCATGAGAGCCTTTCCATAGATGTTTAAGGAATGCAGTGACCCAAGGGATGCATTTCTACTGGCTGACTTTAGTCTCGTTCCTAGACAATCTCAGCTGCATTCCAAAATACAGCTACCTGAAGAACCAGTTAGAATGTCCAAATACAGCCTGAGGTTCTTCTACATTGAGCCACATACGTAGAAATAAATTTATCAATACACACTTAATTTTGTGTCTTCACATTAGATTCAAGCGCGAATTACTTGTGGATTTTCCTAGTCTTGAAAAGGCTTTAAATATCCAAACTAATACATTTTTTTTTACAGGTAATATATATATAGTGGCGGTGAGAGAACCCCCGAAACTTTGGTTCGAGCAGAAGGAAGCTGCGTAGAACAGAGGTAAGTCTGTAAGTTATTTGCAGTAAAGTAGAAGTTGTCACTTCAGATTTACACGGGAATAACAAAACGTATTGACGAACCAAAATGTTTGAGGAGCTGCTAGCCCGGCAGTTTGAGTGCATCCTACCAAGAGAGGCTAAGATGAAAACAGCAGGTTGCCCGGAGAGGTAACAGGACAAAAATAATTCCTTAGCGCTTGCAGCAGCTCCTCTTTCATGCAGTGCGGAGCTGCACCAAATAAAATCTGTTTTCCAAACCTACCCGCTGACTGTGGACGATGTTTTTGTGCTCCCGGGCTACGCGGGTAGCCCATTTCCGAGCCTCCTTGTTGAGGCTGTGTTCTTCAGTCGTTCCAGTTTCCGATTCCAGTTGTCGACTCTGGAACGGAAAACAAGAAGAGAACGAGTTATGACATAGCCCCAGGGCTACCTCTGTAAATATGACAGTATTTAGTTACAGGATAACTTTATATTACATTTATCAGCCTGGGATCTTTTTTTCATGCAAAACAAGAAAGATTCAACAAAAAGAATTCTCTTCTGTGTGAACTCTGCAATGGTACCACGTTGTGGGAAGCCAACTATGACAGCAAAGCAAAGTTCACAAGAAGTCCCAGGTCAACTGTCTCAGGAAAATCAGCGTGACGCCAAATGCCAGACACAGCTCTACTGCAACGGAAGACATTCACGATGAATACAACTGCAACACAATTTCACCCACACACTATATCAAAATGATGGAGTCACCTAATTTCTAAAGTAACCATGCATTACAGGAAGCAAAGATGAAAGGTTAAGCGTGATCCAGTTGGCCATTTAGGTTCATTCTTGGTAATCTGAGATCGAATCATAACGACATCAAATATTTTAGAACAGCACAACCATTTCTGTCAAGTAAAAAAAACTGGCTGCAAAAGAACTTTAATTTCAAACCATGTTTTTGGATCTTGTTTCATCTTATGCCTGCTTTTATTGTGTCAGTAACAAAAAATATAATAATAATTTCTCCTCCCTCAAGAAATGTCAACTAAAGCAAGATGAAATAGTTCTCTATTGTCTACAGAGTGAACAGAATGCATATGAATCGCTGAGGACAGACGTTCCAGCATTTAATTACTTCGATCACTCTCAGTCTTTCTTTATTTCCATGAGTGCCACAGCAACTACCTTCTGCGTTTACATCTCAGCGTTTCGGATGTAAATCGGTCTCAATCTTTCCACTAAAGTAGGTTTCCTGATATTTCTTCTATATGTGTTGGTATTCCGTACACACTTACGGCACCTAGACTGCGTAAGGATGAGTAATTTAATAACGATTCAGTTGGAGAGAGTCCAACAAAGGGCCACAAAGATGATGAAAAGGTTGGAGCATCTCTCCTACAAAGAGAGGCCGAGGGAGCTGGGACTGCTCAGCCAGAAGAAGAGAAGGCTCAGAGGGATCTCATGGATCTATATAAATATGTGAAGGGTAGGTGCAAAGAGGACAGAGCCAGGCTCTTCTCAGGGGTGGCCGGTGACAGGACCAGAGGAACAGGAGGTTCCCCCTGAACATCAGGAAACAGTTTTTCCCTGTGGGGGTTACCGAGCACTGGCACAGGTTGCCCAGAGAGGTTGTGGAGTCTCCGTCCTTGCAAATATTCAAAAGCTGTCTGGGCATGAACCTGGGAACTGGCAACTGGCTCCAGACCAGATGATCTCCAGAGGTCCCTTCCAACCTAGATGATTCCCAGCGTAAGAAGGACATGGACCTGCTGGAGCATGTCCAGAGGAGGGCCATGAGGATGATCCGAGGGCTGAAGCACCTCTGATGGGAGGACAGGCTGAGAGAGTTGGAGCAGCTCAGCCTGGAGAAGAGAAGGCTCTGGGGAGAGCTCATTGTGGCCTTCCAGTGCCTAAAGGGGCTCCAGCAGAGCTGGGGAAGGACTTTTTACTGGGGCATGTAGTGACAGGACGAGGGGGAATGGATATAAACTGGAAGAGGGCAGGTTTAGATTAAACATTAGGAAGAAGTTTTTCGCTGTGAGGGTGGTGAGGCACTGGCACAGGTTGCCCAGAGAGGTTGTTGAGGCCCCATCCCTGGAGGTGTTCAGGGCCAGGCTGGATGTGGCCTTGGGCAACCTGGTCTGGTGGGAGGTGTCCCTGCCCATGGCAGGGGGGTTGGAACTCGATGATCTTCAAGGTCCTTTCCAACCTCAGCCAGTCTGGGATTCTATGATGTTGGGGTTTTTTTCTGAGCTAATCTCAGACTCTTCCCATCAGTAAAATGAGCTGTGAGAAGACATTATATTCACGCCACCTTCCCAGGGTGTGCTCCTGGCACAACAGAACAGACTCCTACAGCAAACATTTCAGTGGTTTCTCCAACTGATGTTAATCAATACTCCAAAGAGGATCCTCCAGAACAACTCCTCTTCCTGGACAACTCGCTGACTGATGCACGTCTCACTACCGAGACAGCCAGTGCAGTCCAGAGCCACCCTGTATTCTTCTTCATCACAACTCCTCCTCAGGCTTGTATAATCTTGCACAACCTTCGAGATCAACTGAAAAAATCCCCTAATAAATTATCACTGAAGAAGACAGAGTACGCTTAGTGCCGCTCAAAACAAATTGAGGTTGCGTACACATGTGTGACAAAAATGACTGTTGCATGAATTACCCTCTCTCACTCTCTCCTCTCTGGTTCAAAAGAGAGGATTTTTCTCCATCAGGTGTGGTTTGAAACTAGAGAAGATCCCACAAGTACGCAACGGTCGTTTAGGAAGGAGAAATTCAAGGTTAGGCAGCAGGAGGAAGGTCAGCGAGCAGAAAGACAAGGAATTCTTTTCAGGCGAGGTGAGAAGTCCCCAGGTGGGGCAGCAGAAGAGACGGTGTCATCGGGTGTTTGAGCAGGCCAAGCGGCACAATGCGGGTCAAGGAAGGAAGACAACGTTAATACCAGCACTTGGTACAGACTGGAGGAGACACTGGGAAGCAAACCAAAGCGATAACGAAAGCAAGACTTAATGCCTTTAGATTACGTTGCCCTCATGGGAGAGGCAATAATACTAACTTATGCTAACATCCTCGCAGAGGATTTAATTGAAAATGAGGCAAAAATGGCTTCAGCTTGTTACTTTGTTCAGCTAAGCTCCTTTTCCTCAAAACTGAATCTGGCCTTTATTCTTATTCATCCTCTTATTAAAAGAGAGCTGGGGGCAGCGGATTCAAGGGGTTGGACTGGATGATCTCCAGAAGTCCCTTCCAACCCTGACCATTCTGCGATTCTGTGAAGGAGATGATGGCCAACAGCAGAGGCCAGCGAGGGAAAGGAGGACAACCCCTACGCGCATACACGCTCCCGCCACAGGGCTCTGAAATATATCTAATGCTCCAGGAAACTCCCGGGCCGCTTTCCGCCTCTATTTCAAGAAGCCATAACTCAGCTGAGAAGCTTGCAGTGCTTCGACTTGTCCCTACAGAAGGCCACGAGGCATACATTAATAGACATCAAAAGAGGGGCGGAGGGGAGGTAGCATCCCCACGTTGCTCACAATGACCAAAAAAAACCCCAAAAACCAAAACCCCAAGAGGCTTTTACAATCCGGTATGCGACGTCAAGGTATTTTAGCTCAAAGCCAGAAACAAACATTTCCATGAAGTTCACCCACGGGAGCAGGACAGAGCCATAAAGCCCACCTTAGTAGTATTTTCAAAGTAAAAGGAATTGTTAGATTAGACATAGAACAGCCCAGAAGAGGAGGAGGGAAGTTCTAAGCACGTGGTTAGCTCTGGCATGAACAGGTAGGAGGGCAAAACTGCGTACCGGGCAAAGAACAGGCAGGTGCAGCTCTCTTCACCCATCCCCCCAGTTTAAATATTACATTGGTTTTTCCCTGCTTTTATTCAGGTGGCTTAATCATAGAATCACAGGCTGGTCAGGGTTGGAAGGGACCTCTCTGGAGCTCCCCCAGTGCCCCCCCCTGCCAGAGCAGGGGCACCTCCAGCAGTGGCACAGGACGGCGTCCAGGCGGGTTTGGAATGGCTCCAGAGGGGGAGACTCCCCCACCTCTCTGGGCAGCCTGTGCCACTGCTCTGCCTCCCTCACAGCAGAGAAGGCCCTCCTCAAGTTGAGATGGAACTGCCTATGGTCACCTTTGTGCCCGTTCCCTCTTGTCCCATCACTGGGCACCACTGAACAAAGACTGTTCCCATCCCCCCGGCACCCTCCCTTGAAGGATTTATCAGCATTGATAAGATCCCCCCTCAGTCTGCTCTTCTCCAGACTAAAAAGCCCCAAGTCCCTCAGCCTTTCCTCGTAAGAGAGATGCTCCAGTCGCCTCATCAACTCTGTAGCCCTTTGCTGGACCCTCTCCAGCAGTTCCCTGTCCTTCTTGAACTGGGGAGCCCCGAACTGGACACAGCGCTCCAGATGTGGCCTCCCCAGGGCAGAGCAGAGGGGGAGGATGACCTCCCTCCACCTGCCGGCCAGACTCTGCTTGATGCCCCCCCGGATGCCATTGGCCTTCTTGGCCACCAGGGCACATTGCTGGCTCATGGGCATCCTGTTGTCCCCCAGGACACCCAGGTCTCTTTCCACAGAGCTGCTCTTCTTCCACCGCTTCCAGCTGAGTCTTAACAGCTGCAGATCTGTGCAGAATTGTTTGACATTGCCTCTCCCCTATAAAACATCTCCTAACGAATCTTCAGTGTTCCCACTGGTCTTGCTCCTAACTCAGCATCTCATTTTCATGAAGAAAGAATACAGACTTTTTTTTCGGTCGCGTGATAACCTTCTGCATTATCCCAAGTGCTTTTTTGGTTTTTAATCTATTCCTCAAAAGCACTTGACCAGAAAAATGAATGCAAACTTTGTGGCTACTCCTAAGGGCATAGAAAAGAAATGAACTGTTATTGGATCAGAGTGTCATATTAGTTATTCATAAAGCAGTATTGTATCTAAGCAGACCTCACCCTTCCTTAAAGGTCTAAAAATAAACAACGTAAAAATGGGGTAATAAAAAGCACAGGGGAAAGACTGAGAGCTGTGGTCTGTGTGGATACCAGAAGTACAGGCAAAAGCAGGAGACAAGATCTAGAGGAAAAATTTAGTCTCCTGGGGAAGAAGCTGAAAACATGAACTCCTAAGCTGGACAAGACCAGAGGGAGCGGTGGAAATGCCCGGTCTGAATACTTGGCTGAGAAGCCAGCGTAGGAGAAAGGTTTCAAACCCAGCAGGACCTGGAACGCTTCCTGAATAAACGGAGCCGGCATGGCCGGGAGGGACTTCACCTGACCTGTAACAGACCAAGCTGCTGGCGCTTCAGAAGGCTGTGAAGGATCCTACAAGCAGAGGAGCAGCAGCAAGCTGACTGGGATGGAAGAGTACATGCTTCAGGA